GAGTAGCCACTGAGCAGTAACAATGAATGTCAATCGAAGTTTGATGTTATTTCTTCTGGCATTTACCGCGTCTTTGAATTTCCATGCCGAATGTTCACCGGCGGTCAAACACCAAGAAAGAGCTCAGGGTAAGTTTCACAATGTGTATTGTTAGCTTTAATCAAAACCAGAAACTTTCACTCTATGTTGCGGTATTTAAAAACACAGAAGCAAATTTCCCCCTTGGCTGCTTCATACTCGATCGAAAACGAAAAGGAATTAGCTAGCTATGTGCGTATCATATGATTCCGCATGTTTATTTGCACGCACTTTCTCTTTTTCGTTAATCCAAAAATGTACAGCCACTGCTATTTTTATCACGGCTAGAAAAGCAAAGTGTGAAAAGTATTATTATTGTAGATACGCTGTTGATCCAGTTGTATTCACTGCACTTTCACTAAAATCAAATCGAACATGTCTGGTTTTGATGTCCAGCCGTGTAATTTTGTTTGACTGATTAGCAATGCAGGTTCATGCATACCAGAGTCTCCACGCTGCAAGTTTTTCCTTCTAGGTCAGTCTGCCAGCAAGCATTCTTTGTCTAATCATTTTTGAAAATTTTGGTGGTGAAGTAAAAATTGCAGATTTTAACGTAAACTTTTGAATAGTGCAAGCGGAAATGTAGTTTATTTATACGCCCTAAAAATATAAATCGAGACCAATTCGAGACATTTACATGTGAAGCACTCCACACAAGAGCACAGTCATTCTGTGCATAGTGGCTTATAATTTAAAGTACTTTGTACATTATTTTAGAATGACTTCACACAACATGATTCAGATTTTACTATTTATGACTTATGCTGAAGACAAAAAAGTGTTTTCAATCTCAAGATATTTTTTATCTTTGTCTTAAACTTGTAGGCATGTGTATATAAAAGCATGATTGCTTTAAATCAATAAATATCAACTTCAAGTTGTTTAATTCCACAAGCATCTGTTCAACTCTCTTTTTTACTATTCAGCATGGGCTTGGATTGGAGGAAGTAAAATTAGGAACCAACACAGCACAGTGGATGGCCAGGAGTCTTATCCTGGAGCAAGGGATGGTGCAACAAGCTGGTTTCACTCAAATTCAACAGTGTGGGTGTTTGGTGGAAAAGGGTTTGGACTAAAAAAATCCCAACCCTTACAACTGCCTATGCTAGATGAACTGTGGTCATTTGATATCAAAGAAAGAAAATGGCAGTTTCATCCTTTTGACAACAAAACTTCCAAGGGTCAGAAACCTTTGCCATGTTTGGGATGTGTATCTTGCAGTTACCAAAACAAGGCTTTGGTGTTTGGATCTTCAGGTTCTTTCATTTTTGATATGGGAACAATGACATGGACAGTCTTGCAGGACAATAAATCATCCCCAGTCCCACGGAGTGATGCTGCTCACTGGTGTGATGCTGAGAAAGGGGTGCTATGGATTTTTGGTGGCACAGACTCAGGGAAAAATCTTGATGATTTCTGGAGTTTTTCATTCAAAAATTCACAATGGAAAGAACTGAGACCCAAGAGTAATAAAAGCACTATTCCTGCTAAGTGTATCAAAGCAACAACCTGGATGCACCCATCTGGCATTCTGTACATGTTCGGTGGATCATGCCATGGACGACTTACATCGTACTTCTGGAGTTATTCACCTGGAACATTGGAATGGAAAAAGTTTGGTGGAAGTGAAGGTGTCCCAAAGTGTGCTGGAAGGTTTGGGCAGAGGGGTGTTGCATCTAAGGGAAACTATCCGGGTTGTAGAAATGGGGCAGCATCCTGGATAGATCAGTGTGGTAATCTGTGGATGTTTGGTGGATCAGGTTATGATAACTTTTCAGTGTCTGCTTACGCAATGCCAGGTCTTTTGTCTGACTTTTGGATGTACAATGTCTCCAGCCATCAGTGGATGTGGATGGGAGGATTAAGCAGGGAGGAAGGTAGACCATTCTTTGGAGAAAAAGGAGTCGCAGATGCACATAATATCCCAGGGCCAAGAGAAAGTGCTATGTCTTTCTCCTACAACCATGAGATGTGGCTCTTTGGAGGGGCAGGACATGATGACAAACAATTTGATGGGCTGCTTAATGACTTGTGGATGTATACAACATTCACAAACATCACCCCAACACAAGGTACACAGTTGCCAGGAGATACCATTAGTATCTCCTTTGGAGTTAGAGTTCTGATTGCCCTCCTTGTCATGGCCTTGGGACTAGTGGTGTCGCTATCCATGTGTTACAGCAAGGAATGTAAGATTTTCAGATTCAAGCGACATCTCCGTCCAGTGGTGAAATACACACCTGTGAAGGTTGAGACAGTGCAAGTACTGCAGCCAGAGACGGCTGGTCCAATAAACATTGACCCAAACAGGAACCTGTGATCATTTGTATCTTTGCCATCATGCTTTCAGCTGCATGGAGTACCATGTGTGTGTTTAGATGTGTTGAATAACAGGATTGATATTTTCAATCAACATAAATAAGGAGTTGACACAATTTAAAACTAGTTTCATTAGAATTTTTTTACGCTGGAAGATCTCAGTACATAATGTATCTGTACAAGTTAAAAAAGCAATATAAGACAAAGGAGTAAATGGAGAGCTAATCCTCTAGGTATGTGCTTTTTCTGTTGATCTGGAACAAAGAAAAATTTGAATCAAGCTAGTTAAAAAATCATTTTGATGTGAAATTAATTATAAACTTCAAAATAGATGCAAGAAAAAAGCTCATAAATGTATCTGGATAGAAAGTGAAAGTCATCATGCAATTACATGTATTGGTTAAAAAAAAGAAAGGAACAGTTACTGTTAAATTAACACTGTCATTGTTGTAACCTTATAATAGTTTGGTGAATTATCTTCAAGAGTGCAGAACTTTTGGGACATGGTATGTAGTTATATAGTACATAAACTGATATTCTTAATGCAGGTTAGAGAAATTAATATTATTTAAAGTTTGCCGCAATTGATATAAAACCAATATGGACCAGAAATAATCAAAATGCTTGTAGGAAACCAGGTCACTCAAAGTGATATTCCAAAGAAACAGTCTTAAAGACTTGTTAGAAGTTTTTGATGTAAGATAGTGAATAACATTGGGTAGGGTCATCATCCTTTTTCATACAATTTATTGTGCACAGTTGTTGAAAGATAACACCTTTTAGGACATCTGGTAAATTAAGACAGCATGAAGTTATAAATTGCATGCCCAGAACAATCTCTGGTATTCAGAGCTGCGTTTACTTTTTGGTATAAATTATTTTTGACTCAGGCTCAGGGACTTTTGTAGCACTGCAGTCATTTTTTTCTTCAAGAACTGCTTTTTTTTGTTTTTAAAAGAAATTTTGACCTTAACTAATGAGTGAACTGTACATATATTTATCATATTTAGGGAATAAAGTTTGATTGTTAAGAATTCTTATTTTATCATTTCCTCCATATTTAGTCAACTCTTAGCCCTTTAACTCCCAAGATCTTGTTAGTAATTCTCCTTACTGTCTGCTGTATAGTTCTTTTGGTGTTATTTTGGAGAATTTGGTATTGGATCAACCGATAATCCCCTAATTGATATCTTTCTTTATTCTCATCACTTGTCTGCTTGATGTTGGATTGAAATAACAAGGAGAAATTCAGCCTTGATCACTCTTGGGAGTTAAAGGGTTAACCCTTCAACCCCTAAGAGTGACTAGCATATAATTCCCCTGGGTCACACTCAAAGGTCTTGAGAATAAAGGAAAAGATCACCAACTAAAGAAGCTCTTGATTGATTAATAAATTCTCCTTGTCAGTAACAATGAAAGGATAGGGTACAGCAAGGAGAATATGCATACTGAGTTTAGGGTGTAAAGGGTTAATGTATTAAATGTCAATAATTTTAGTGTTCACAGTAAACTTGCTAGATGATTTTCTCACGGATTTTAAGTTCCTCACCCTTATGAATAGGCAAATTGATTACATATTCCAACTGGACGGAGACAGAACCAGTTGGTTATGTGCAAAACGAAGCAAGGAAATGCTCTAGACCCTTCAACCCCTAAGATTGACTGGCATCTAACTTCTCCTCCTTCAACATATCACCCTATATCAAACATTAAGGTCCGGAGAATAAAGGAACTCTTGTTAGACAATTGTTAGACAAAATCTCCTTATCAGCACATTAGGAAATGTTTAAAGAACAGTTTAGAGAATATGCATACTGATGTTGGGGCATAAAAGGGTTAGACAACCATGACTGAATTCAGTGAGAAAAATAACAGGGTTGAGGACTTTACTCCAAAGTCACTAATGTAATACCACCTGGCCTGACCATGCCTTTGTGTGCCAAAAAATGCAAGAACAATTATGTACCCTCTTCACCTTCTATTGGCATGGAGGCCCAGAGGCTCAAGCAAATCACATAAAAAAAATTATAACAAAAATGAAAGTAAAAAAGCTAGGTGGCCATGGAAGCAAACAAGTTTTTTATTTACCCTCTCACTCCCAGATCTCATTGGTAATTCTCCTTATTGTCTGTCATACAATTCTTATGATGTTAGTTCAGAGAATTTGATATTGGATCCACTAATAATCCTCTAACTTACATTTTTCTTTATTCTCATTACTTGTTTGCTTTATATTGTATTGATACTGTGAGGAGAAATGCTCTCTTGGTCCACCACAGGAGTAAAGGGGTGAAACAAATGGTCTGGGAATCAAACCCTTGACCTCTTCCTGGTGCATCCAGTACTCTTAGTAATTCCTTGGCCCTGTTCCCATTTCCCCATGTCAGATCAAAAGTACTGAGGATAAAATTAAAGGAAGGAAAATATACTTATCAAATACTAATATTAAACTTAGTCTTAAGAAAAAAGACAACCCCTTCAAATACATATCCTTATGTCTGTTATGCAAATAATTTTTGAATTGTAATCTCTGAAATATGATATAATAACAATTTTATGATGAGTGTAACAGTGTATAGATAAAGATGATGTACCATATGTAGTAATGCTTCACAATGCTTTACTGAAAAGATGTCAAAGACATTTGAAAAATGGTACAAAATTGAGCAATAGTGTTTTCCAAGTTTTTCTCTCTCTTGTAACTTGAAGAAATCTGTTCATATTCTATATTTTACAAACATTTTAAAGATAAAAATACAATTGATAATACTTTATTTTTTCTAAACATGTATTTAAAATTTTGAATGTCATTGAGAAAACCTAAATTGTTCACCCATTTTGTGGATATTAAACTTGGAAACATGTAACATTTACAGACCACAAACACCAGGTGAGTTGACCAATTGGCTAGGCCAAGTAGCCATACCTTCTTGGTAATAAACAAAACCTAGACTTGCAATTGGCTATTTTTTAGTTAAGGAAACCATTTAAAATTGACAGGAATCATGTTGGCACTTGATCACTTGCATAAAACCTGTTTAACATCAACAACATTCTGCCCATCTCGCACTTTACAATCGATTTGCAGGTTCTTCAAGCATGTCCCCCACTTGACATGATCCTTTTCCTTCAGGGAATACATTTTGCATTGTACTCTGGCATTCATCTCTTTGCCATCTTGAAACTTCACAAAAATTATCATGTAAAGTCTGTCTTTATTTTTGGATGTACTCATCCCATTTGTAGACCATGAGCATTCATACACCGAAGATCTTTCATCAGTTCTCTTGAGTTCATGCTTAACATTTCCTCCACCAATAGAAATTTCACTGTTGTAGAAAAGTGGAAATAAAAAATAAAAATCAATTTACATTCACCTACCTTCAGCCTTTAACCTTTTAAACTCTAAGGGCTGGTTATTTACCCGTGGTCTAATGCAAACCTCAGTTTTACACAAGCAATGGGCCTTAGGTATTCTCTATAAGAGGGTTGATTCAATAATTAAAAATAAATGTCTTCCCCAATGCTAGCTTTTGTTCCACTGTAAGCTGTTCACAGAAACTAATATTCAGATAAAAGATTCACTAGCAAAATTGACAATGGTTTAGAACACAGTTTTGTTAAACAACAGCCTATCTTTTTTTTAGATAACCGTCCCTAAAAGTAACCAGCATCTACTTTCTCCTTAGGGTAATACAGCTGAATCATTCATAAAGATTATGAGAACGAAGGGAAATGATTGCCAACCTTGTTAAACAATTCTCCTTGACAGTAACAAAGTAAGGGAATGTATAGAGGAGAGAAAGGAGAAAATGGATACTGATGTTAGTGTATAAAGGGTTAACCACTTAGAGTTACTGGCATCTGATTCCTTCTTATATCAATAATGACAACAAATTAAAATTGAATGTAAGGAATGTAAAACTGATGAATCGATATAAATATTTTTATTTTAAATTCTCTTGGGATTGCAGTGACATTGACACCTCAAAAGCATGAACCATGAATGACAGACACTGTCACTTCTTGGGCAGTGTTCATAAATTAACCACATAACCATAACTACAGTGATTTAGGTCTTCATTCTTTGTGGCAAATCTCTCTCAGAGTAATTCTTTTCTTTAAGTTAAGGTTAAAGCTCATGCAAGCTTAAGTCTCGCTCGTATTCGGTGAAAGAACTTCTTATATCTACGGATGACGTAGAGCAAAGAATACAAATAATTTAAATCACACAGACTATGAAAAGAATAGTATAAAACTTCACAGCTTAATCGATGCTTTTAATTTCACTTAGGTGAACCGCGAGCTGCTATCAAATATACATGATCAAAACATTTCTTCGGCTAAGAATGCAAGAAAACTGAGACCTGCTTCGTAGGCAGTCTTACAGGAACGACGAAAAACGCAAAAGTTAATATTTACGATTCAGTGACAAGGAAATAAATGGTGTTTACCCCAACCAAATAATTATTTCACGTACCTCACTTCCTTCGATGGACGAAACTCAAATGAAAGTTTATACGACGTGTCCACTTGTAGTTTCAGAGTCTGAGTCTCCTTAAACCTTTCCCCATCAACTTTAAAGAACACTGGCGAGGAATCCTCGAATCTTGTGATGTGGATGTCCATTTTGAATGCACTTTCTTCTGTCCTAGAGGACGCCATATTGGAGGAGTGGTTTGTCGGTCGGTCACGCAATTAAATTAAGTCACGCGTGACATGTGACATTTGCATCAGTTCCTCTCCATCTTGTTTACTTGAAATGACTAAGCTAAATGATTCCTTTTTAGCAACCTCTCCCGCGTTAAGTGACCAAGCTAAATGAAAAGAAGGTACAGAATTTGAATGACGAAGAGTTGAAAGCGTACATGTAGCATATGTTTTATTTCACTCAGCTCCTTTGAAGAGACATTGTCACATTTCCGATGTAACGCCAAAATAAACGTGAGGTGACCAAAGATCACAGATGAGGTGCGGTGCAAGGACTGAATTTTACTATATAGAGGTGAAAAAATATCTTATCCTCTTGTTGAAATTGGTTCTAGCTTACTGTGGCTTTCATTCATTTTCCCATTTTTACATGTCAGGAAGCAATTTGAAACATTTCAAGTTACAGAAGAACTCGGGTCGAGATTGCAGACGCAAGACGGTGAAGATGGCATACATTTGTAAATACGACGTTTGTAATCAGCATTGTGCTGTTGTTTACTTATTCTTAAGACTCTTCTGACACCTGAAAAAAGGTAATTTGTCCAAACATGTTTGTAGGTTTGAGTTGTTCAAAATCAGTATTCAGTATCCGACCAGTATGAATGTTCATTGAACACGTGGGCTGCGACTGTAACTGTTTCGCGCCTCATCCGCACTGCGTCGGAAAGGAGCAAAAAGGCGGAGGGGGGGGGGGAGTTGGTAGTGGGTGAGTCATGTAGACGCAATCCTTGACTCAAACCAAAGATTAAAAGACCAATTATTCCCTGATAGTTAATATACATGTTTTGTTGGTGTTCCTAGCGTCTGTTGCGAATTTCAGTCGAACTTTACTGGCATGGTATTTACCTAATAAGGTCTGTGTGTTACTACGAAAAGGGAAAATTCAGACACTGCTTTCTAATATCGGCCATCAGCGTCGAAAATCGGACATAATTAACCAAAATGGGTCAATAGTGTCACAAATAGGACAATTGTGTCTAAAATCGGATTTTAATGATCAAAATCGGACACAGTAGAGGGTAATAGCCCTACTACACACGTTTTCTTCGAGAGTTCTTGAAATACCCCATCGATATTCAATTTCCCTTTTATTGTGAAATGGAGGGGATAAATGGATGATCTTTGGTGACAACGCCATTCGCCCGGCAGGAAATGTATTCGCGTGATATCCTCTGAGCATTAGAAAAAATTATTGAATTTAAGAGTTTTTCCACTACCAAATAATTCCTCGCAGAGGAAACCTTTATTCATTGGCAATATATTGTTAGGATTTGTCCAAACGATAATCAAAATGTACAAATTGTGTATTGTTCTGGTTTCACTGTTGTCAAAGGCGAAATCCACCTGTACACCGGACAATGGAAACATATCGCAAGCTTTGTTTGAGATAGCCAAAAAAAACAGTGTTAACTGCCATTTGATGACAGACTAGGAAAACACTTCATTCACACCCAGGATGCGCATAACCAGTTCTGCTTTGCATTGCCTTGGAAACTAAAAATTCGCACAGCACTTTTTTCTCTTTTAGACACAACCACCACAGTTATCTTCGCATTTAGTGCACGTGAATACTGATCGATTCCTCTGACATTTAGCGTTGTGGCTTGAAAAAGACGACTGATTTATGGTGAGTTATTTAACACAAAATCTATTAATTCGTTAATTCTATTAATAAGACTTATCTTCTCATAGGATTGCGCGTTTTCAACTTAAATGAGGAAATACAAAATAGCTTCATTTGGACCACAAATGAAATTAACTTTAATTCGACTGCTCTAGCGTCTGAAGAAAAAGTTACTCCCCGGTGAAAACATTTAGGCAAATTGGCTTCACTAAATTGATCCTTTTACCAAAACCAATAACTTGAGAAAATATCTCTCGTAAAAGTAATCTCTTATTCTAGATAAATCATTTAGAAGATTTCTTATATCTTTCTCAAAGTCGCTTGGAATTCTTGAAAACACAAACGGTAAAAAGATTGCTCTGCCGGTTTGAAAACATAACTAGAGCTATACGATTTGTTTAACCTGAACTATATGTAGATACACTTTATGTCTTTTTGCTCTAGCTGTGTTGTTTCCTTTTGTTGAAAAAATATCGGTATTTCAAATGATTTCCCTGAGAGTGTAGCACTCGTAACAAACGATTTTTTTAAACAATGAAAAATACTTGGTTAAAGCAACTTTTTAAACAAGAATCGTTTTCCTAATTCAGATCGTGGGTGCAGTCTTATATTTAAAACTAAGAGGCGAAATACTGAAGCAGATCAAAATGTTGTTAAAATGACCTTAAAACGAAATTTGGTGAGTATGAAATTGTTCGTGCGTTTTGAATGTAGAGTAATTTGGAGATTTAGAGAAATATGGATCCTGTCCGACTGATATGATACAAGGTTACAGTTTTCCGATATGCAAATGAATGCATATCAGTTCAATCAAGATGAAATATTATAAATTTTCTTCGCTGAGGATTTCAAAAGACAAAAGTTGAAAACAAAGAGATTGATGATAGCACTGATGTCTGAGACTTCAGAGACTGATTTCTTTCCAATTTTCCTTTAAATTCCTTCCTGTGTCTAATTTTTCTTTAATCGTCGGCTCAATTTACTGTTACTAAATCCCGGCATCAGCCCTGTTTTCCTTGTGTCTGGGTAGTTGTTTAACATACGTTTAACAATGATTTGACCGAGAGGTCGGAATAAAAGTATATTAGCGCCCATGAAAAATTTCTCATCATCGATAAATCTTGGTGTAATCGCAGTACAAATGAATTTCATCCCACGAATCGTATTTCGTTTGAATATCTCACGTTACAACGACCTTCCCACATCAAGCTGTTCTTCAGCCAGATTTCTCATTGACTGAGGACGTAGTATCAACTTTTTTCCAATGATTGTTTAATGTGGTATTTTATTGATGCACATAATGATTTTAACGAATTATGATTGTTTTTAGTGAATTTTTTGTTACCAATATTGCTCCCTAGGAGATGGACTTTCGTTTTTCAGTATTTCACATCGTCGTATGAAACTATTGACCAAGCGAATGAAAACCGTATGATGAATAAGTTTCAAGTAGTAATGGTGGTGCTTTTTTTTTTCTTCACAAGATGAAAATTACGTATCTTATATTAAAAATTAAAAGGTTAAAAAGGAGTAAAAATGTAAAAGAATATAGTCAAAAGCATGTAAACAAATCGAAACTTACAAAGCTACCTTGTATTTAAAAATTAGACGATTTACATAAGAATCTTTTGAACGGTCTGTGTTAACTTTGAAGCATTGATATGATTTGGAATTTCTTAAATTATATTTTGTCTCCTTTTCCTTGAAGTTAAATTTTCGAAAAAGATATAAAATCAATTTGGCACTTTATTGAAAAAGTTTCTGTCCTGCTTTTCTATTTGTTCACGTGCGTTAATGGCCCTAGATATATATCTTTGCTTACGATTACCTATCTACAAGACAATGAATCTAGGTGTGCTCGGTTTAAGAAGCGCCATACAATGAAAGATCGTATATGATGTTACTGCAAAACTAAACTAGTGAAAAAGTGGTCCATAAAATGTTTTATAGAATGATGAAAATGGAATAAACGGTTTTGGAATAAAGAAGTGTGTAATTTATTTTGTTGTGATCGAAGGACGAAGACAGGAACCGAGTCCTCCACAAGGGGTCGTATGGTGGACTTTGCGTTTGCGTGCTCCGACGGTTTACCTCTGAGCTACAGAAATTTAACATACTGAAGGTATTAATTTTGTTAGGCTTTGTGCCAATTTCCTGTGCAAAGCTTTTAAGAAAAACATTAAAAACAAACGTTGTCATGCAAAATCTGTGAAAAAAAAAAAATTGAAGGGAAAAAAAAAAGTAGGGACAAAGTGTTTTCGTTCACACGGCTTATTTAATCATGGGTTTCCGACTGATTTTTTTCTCTTTTTTTTCGATTTTCAAACACTGCGACTTACTCGCTATTATAGTTGTATATTTTGACAGCCTAAAAACACACTACCTAGCCTCTACAACGTTCACGTACACGCCGCAGTTTGACCACTGTTTTCGAACCAGACCTATCAATCCGGAGTCCAGCACGCTGACAAGTAGGCCGAAAGGTCGCGGGCGATATGATAGAACTGCACATCTATATCGAAGATTTTCTTTTCAAAGCTTTTTAAAGCTTAAAAGGGAATTGTTTTGACTGCTCAAAAACACGAATACAAAAAGTCCACACTATCATTTAAAATGCTGGGCAGTGGTTTTATTTGATATCCCTTGTTTACATTATCAGTTCCGGAAAAAAATTATTTCCTCGAAAGCTCTGGGCAAATTCAGCGTACAAAGGGATTTGAGAAAAAAAACTAAATCAGATGTTTTAGAGCTAAAATTCTAATGAGTGTCAAACAGCCTTCCGAAGATAAAAGGAAATATTTTCACCCTGGAGAATAGTCAGGAAGTTTTTGTAAGGAAAAAGTCGCTTCAAGTCTTTATTACAGATTAGTGATATTTTCTCAAAAAGTGTAATTTTTTTTTAAGTACCTTTTGTTTATCCGAGATGTTATTGAAAATCCCTTGTAGTTTTAAATCGGAAATTTGATTAAGGAGAAGTAAATAAATACGGTTTTGCAAAGAATGTTAGTGGTCTTTTTCCAGGTATAAAGGCACTTTTACTCGATCTACCAAGAAGAAAAAAATGAAGTGGTTTTCACGCAGATTAAGCCAGAAAATTAAAAGAGGTAATTTAAGAAAACCTATTAAACCGCTGTTATTCACCTTCAATACTTTGTAGCTAATTTAGAACCCACTCATGTCCACTACAAATTTATTTAGAAACAAATGTCCTCTGATGAAAATTGAGTCGAAGGTTTTGAGTTTTGTCTGCCTCGCAATCCGGTAATTAGATATTTATTTCATTCTCTGTATAAAAGATCGATTCAAGGCAATACAAAAGTGTCCAACGCATGAAATGTTTTAATAAAGTGAATTTACACAGGAAAAACAAAACTAATGAAAGTTCTCTAAAACGGAAAATTTACCGGCCGACTGCAAATTCGGGAAATGAATCTACCACTTGACACATCTGTAAAGAGAACCGATCAACAATAGAGGTTTACTTTTCTGCTCAAGACAGTTTTCGTTTTTGCAAGTATAATTAAAATGGAAGAGGTAAGTTTTCTCCATTAAATTTATTTTAAGGTAAAGAAGGACCAAAACGTATAATTTTGACAAGAATCGCTCGTTCCATTTTTTCCCATTTCAAGCATACAACCTCATTAAGATTTCCTTCGCGATTTTTTTGATCCGACAGAATAGTCACCTAATTGTCTTTCTTTGGAATTAAAAAAGCTCAGTTTTAAGTTTATTTACATTGCCACCGGAAATAAAAGATTTCTTGTATTTGGGAAGAGGAGTTACTAGGATTTCACAACACACAAGCAGGTGTGAATTGATGCAAGTCAGAAACAAGATTGAGAAAGACAAGGCTGAGAGTTGCAAAAACGTCTTCCGCAGGTATCCTGCATTTTTTTGAGTAAGGTACTGCTAATTTTTTAGGTTTTGCAAACTTAATCTATGCGGGCCAAATCGTGCCTTTCGCTTACTTGGCTTTCTCATAGTCTTTGGTGTTGCAAATACAATATTGCTTTTCAAGTAGAAGTGCTAAAATACTTAATTATCGGCATATCGCAACTGTTCATCGCCCGGCAACGTGTTGAATTATGTCTACGTTTTTAGATACATGAGTAGTAGTCAAGGAACATCATGCAAGGTCCTATAGTTGTGTTTGTTAAGAGATAGGTAGCGAAAATGCGACTGCTTGGTTTACAGGCAGAAAAATGAACTTTGAAAAATTGATATGCCATCACCGATCACTGATGCAACTTACAATGCATAACTTTTTTTGTGCGACAAAATCAACAGTTTGCGATTGTCTCTCCTTTAGCTGACGAAGAGCAAGTCGATACCTTATATACTATTATGAATAATTGGTGCAGGAATTCATTCTGTGTTCCCTTAATTTAAAAACAGTGATCAAACCACTCAAAAATATACTTACTGGTACTTAGTTTGAGAGCAGAAGAAGTATTAGTGTCATTTTAGTGCCTAATCATCTTCAAACTCTTTTCGGTTACTCGAAGATTGTCGGGAGAGTTCGGAAATATCCGTTGGCCTAAAGAATTCAAGAAGTCGATAAAAATTCGAGGTCTTGTCTGTAACTTTTTCATTTCACGGCTTAAAAAAATAGTCGCATTCGATATGCTTTCGGGAATGAACATTTCTTAATGATTTAGCTCCTTATATTGTTTATAAAATGTAATATCTCTAAAAAGTCTAAGAGTGTCGAAACAGTAACGAAAATTTTTTAAACAGTTCTCTCAAGTGTTTACTACAGTAAATTAAGTAGAGTTTTTCAAAAAATTGTTCCCGTTCTATCTCCTTGCAAGTTTTGGTTCCAATTTCGATAAATAATTACACTCGAAAGCAAAAACAAACCAGTTACATCCCGTCAAACGTACAATTTAGGCGGTAATTAATTAATTCTTATTTTAGAATTGATATCTTCTCGGAAACTATCTCAAAATTCAGCTTATTATCTAAAAAGCCAGATTTTTTTTCGGTTAGTTCGGTGTTTTCAC